TGGAGTTGCATCAGAGGAGTATTTAACTTATAGGCAAGCCATGCCAAAAACAAAAAACAAAAAAAGTGGAGAGATAAATAATATATTGAATAGCACATGCCTCAAAGTGAATTTGCTTTTTTTTTTTTTCTTTTTTTGTGACAGAGTCTCACTCTGTCCCCCTGGCTGGAGTACAGTGGTGCGATCTCTGCTCACTGCAAGCTCCACCTCCCGGGTTCACACCATTCTCCTGCCTCAGCCTCCTGAGTAGCTGGGACTACAGGCGCCCACCACAATGCCCTGCTAATTTTTTGTATTTTTAGTAGAGAGAGGGTTTCACTGCGTTAGCCGGGATGGTCTTGATTTCCTGGCCTTGTCATCCGCCCACCTCGGCCTCCCGAAGTGCTGGGATTACAGGCGTGAGCCACCACGCCTGGCCAAATTTGCTGGTTTCTTAGTAGGTCTCAGTTTCTCGGTGTTTTCTCAGTGTGAGCATTTTGCCAAACGAGGTATTCACAGACCAAGCCAAACACTCCATATGGCGGTCAGCTGAGGGACAGTGAAGTGATCCAGCGCTGTGCAAAACCAGCTGGCTGGACTTACAAAGAGATGGTATGTTCTCCATGTGGCACCTCTCCCAAGAGAATTTTGAGGGTAATAATGACCTTAGGTGATTTTTCACCTTTGTGTCCTCTCCTAAATAACTTTCCGTAGAATAAGATTGGCCTAAAGTAGACTCCAGAGTCCACAGAGAAAGGTGGTGTGTTTGTGGATGAGAAAATCTGCTTCAGTTGGATAACCCACACTTTGGGCACAGGTCTCAAACTATTTGAAAGAATATGAGCATAGTTCCTTTAAGAAATCTGGTGATATTACAGTATAGGAGCCTTACATTGTCTTTAAAATATAGTTCAGACAGTAGGCTCAGAGGCAGAAAAACAAAAGGCACTGAGATATTTACAGTTTTGAATGAATATTAAAGACATCAGAGAGAAATTAAATTTAGTTTTCTAAATGCAATAAGTATATGCAATCAAAGGTGGGGTCAGAAGTTGTAAAAAGGACCGGGGCAGCTCACAGGTAAGAGGGGTGCAGGGAAGACACAAAAAAATCCCAAGCCAATACTGAGTAAGTCAGAACTTGCTAAATCCCAGTACCAAATGTGAGATGGAATAGGTATGACCAAAGTCTGCCCAACAAGCCCAGGGCAGATGGATACACAGGATTCTGGGGGACAGCATGGGCCCTGCAGCCATGTGGGCTGGGAGGGCACTTAATCTAAGGGGGCCCCAGATTCCCAGCCACAGCCCCAGGACAGGCCAGCTCAGGCTTTCTTATCAGGCCTTGGGAGCACTCGTGCAGGGAATCCAGTTAGGGCACATCAGGTAGGCAGTCTAGCTGGATGACAGGGATGTTGACAACTTTGTCTCTGAGCAACTCAATTCCTATCCCAAGGTTTGGAACAAGTCAAACCTCTACCTCAGTGATTGTCCCTGATGCCCCTGCCACTCCCCAGTGAGAGTTTCAGCAATCCGCAGGGGCATTTTTCACCATCACAACGATAGGGGTATGTGCCAGAGATGACATGAAGAATCTCCTGCAATGAAGAATGGTTCTGCCTCCAGCACAACTTTCACACATCCCACCAGATAGTCGTGAAGATAAAGTAACAAGCTTTTTATAATTACCTGAGCATAGACCTAACTCTGTTTTGCATATAAACACAAAAGAGTTTTCTGCAGTGTAAATATACACACATTGTACACCCACATCCACAGCAGCATTATTCAAGATAACCAAAAGGTCAAAGCAACCCAAGTGTCCATCACTGGCTGAATGAATGGACAAAACGTGGTAAATACAGACAACAGAATGTTATTTAGCCTTAAAGGGGAAGAAAATTATAACGTGCTACAACAGGCACGAACCTTGAGGACATTATGCTAACTGAAATAAGGCAGTCACAAAAGGCAAATACTACATGATTCCGTCTATAAATCAAATTCCTAGAGACAGAAAGTGGAATGGTGGTTTCTAGGAGTTGAGGTGGGGAGGGTGTTAAGTGTTCAGTGGGTGTAGAGTTTCAGTTGAGGAAGATGAAAAAGTTCTGGAGATGGATGGTGGTACAGGTTCTGCAACATAAATCAGTGTAGTTTATGCCACTGCACTGTCACTTACAATGGTTAAAATGGTAAATTTTGTTATGTATATTTTACCACATGTATGTCTTGCCATATATACATATACACACACAGATGTTTCAAGGAAAGCAACTCTTGTATAAATCATAGCAACACTGTAGTTGCCTGTGTCAGAACTTAACCATGACCTGTTCACTACCATGGAAATTCACATCCTGTACAGCAAGGCCATTAATGATGCCTGGGCCACCAGCAGCAGCCTCTTGTATCTGGCAGCATCTGCAGCCACGAGGTGCATCCCAGCGAGTCTATACAGAGGTGCGAGCATCTGACAGTGCCCTGGTGTCGTCTAGCGTCACTGTGCCAAAACACTGGCACACTGATATATTTTATTATAAATTATCTTCCTTTGATTTTCTTTTATGCTACAGCCATATATTTTTACAATTATTTGTGTATGTATGCATATAAATGTTACTTGTAAATTTCATTTCACCACAGTATTGGTGGAATTCCAAAATGTTTCTTATAAAAAACAGGGAGGAGCTGGGCTGGCCCTGATGTGGGTGAGAGCCACTGCCCTGGGCTCAGAGAACAGATACCATTAAGAGCAGAGGAACTCTGCAGCAAAGAACAGACTCAATTAGTATCTCTGGATTTAATAATACCCCTTTGCAAGAATTAAGGGTCTTATGGTGAAGATCTGGTGGTGGTTTGCCCACTCCCCTGAAAAAGAAAACATATGGTGGAAAACTAGAGACTCTGACTCTTCTTACTGATGAAACACACACACACACACACACATATACACACATTCTCTCTCTCTCTCTCTCTCTCTCTCTCTCTCTCTTAAAATAATCACATTCATGCCTCCTGGTAATAAACTCAGACACAGACGAGGTAAACCAGAGAACATATTTTCAGTCATGGGAATCACTGTATCATGTCAAAAAAGATTAGAATTTGACTGCAAAGGGCACAGTGTGTCAATTGCAATTACACATATATCGTTTCTCTATTGTGGTCATCCTTCTTTCCATCTCAACACTGAGACATGATTAATATTTTACATACTGTCCAAAAGAGGAATGTGACTTACCAGAAACCATACTGAACATTTCAAATACAGATCATCCTTTGCCAAGAGAAAATCCTGCCCAGCTGTAGATTTCTCATTTGCAAAACATAAGAGCAATGAAATTCCATTACTTAGAGAAACTGGCTGTTCCACCAAACCCTTGGCAACGGAAGCTGTACTTATCTTTTTGAACAATAGTCTCAGAAAATGTATTCACTCTCAAAAAAGACAGTAAGGAACGCATTTGAGCTCTTAGGAAAGCACTCTTGCCCAAGCAAATTCCTGTTTGCTCTCCTGACCTGGGAAGTATAAAGACTGACTCTAAACCATGCAGCAAAAACAGCTCCAAGTTTAAGAACCCTTTAGACCTTCAAAGGGGATGCAACAATATTAATAATGTCCTTAAAACAAAATCAAGTATCATTTTAACATGTAAGTTAGCACATCGCACTCCCTCCCTCAGGGGAGGGAGCCTCACACCCGAACTAGTTCAGTTTGCTTTCCCTGTGAGATTTAACTGTGTATTTGCCTGAGGATTTTAAATTATCCTGAAGCATACTGCACATTGCACGATGTGTCCAGATGAGACTGGACACGCAAGACTTTGTTCTCAGTCCTGCTGAGGCTCCTTTCCCCAGAAGAAGCCTGTGGCCACATTCCAGCGAGTGAAAGGAACTTCACTTATGGCTTAGCTCATGGTCCTCGTTCCCACTCAGTCTGAAATTTTGAAATGGGCCATGAAAATACTCAGGAAATACACACAGTATGAAAATGCGTGTGGAAAACAAACATCCACTGGTATCAGTGCTATTTTTCTGGTTTCTTCTATTTGCACTATATTACGGCTACGGCCCATAGGTGAATTTCTTGTGGGGTCTGGCGTATCATTGCAGATTCTCAAACGTACTTTTTGCCTAATAGGAAAGCCAATCAATTTAGCCCATATACGTATCCATCCAAAGAGCAATGAAAATGGTCAAAACACCAGTAAAAAATTTATATCAAACTTTATATTATATCGAACTCATCACAAAATTTATATCAAACTCATTTATATCAAACTTTGCAACAAGAGCCCATATGAAGAGGCAACAAATCGTTCTCTCCCTTTCAGTGACTTCAGAGCATCCTAGAACACTGCAACCCTGTTACAAAGTGTTGCCTTGGTGGGGCTGAGAGATCCACTTCCCCTACATGAGTCTACAAACCTGTTGTATAAAAGTTTGAAATGATGAATGAACTGAAAATGGAGTGAGTGATGATATGTGAACTCTAATATCAACCTCTGCCTGCAAATCCCTGGGCAATCAGGTTGTACAACTAACAACAGGCTAAGAGGACGAACATAACAGAGAAAACAATGCATTTGTAGAATTAAGTGTGTGCTGTGAGCTCTGAAGACATTAGAATGACTCCAAAGCTGACATAATTGTACCCTGGTAATCAACATGTACACGGTGCACAATTTGTACAACAGGGATTGTTCATCTGGTTCTGACACCCAACTCTCCAATGGTTTCCGCGCGAAGCTGTAACTGATGCATACGAAACAGATTCAGGTCCACATGAAAAAAGCCAAATTGTGAACACTCCACTCATAATCTGGCTTTTCTACATTTAACAAAAATTTAACACCAAGGCAATCAGCACTCAATCTGGTTCCACACAATGGGAGAAGGGTGACTCCAGCTCAACCATCTACCACTTTAGGCCTCCCTCCCCAATCAAACGTCTTGCTTTGAGCTGGATGAAGATGGGATGGCATTTAGCCTATTAAAAGACACTAGCCAGTATTCACATACCTCAATAATCCTGTCATGAATTTGCAGGCCTCCTTCCTTGGCTGCGGGCCCAGTGTCAACTATCTTGGATACAAAGATTCCTTCACTGGATGATCCATCGTGGTTATCCTTTGGGTTAAAAAAACACAAGCATGAATGCTAGACATTAAGTTGAGCATGAAAGTAAAGCTTGCACTCTTAAAACAGTAATTGACTCTTGCTGTGTCAAAAGTGGCAATAGGGTAAAAGGTATTTGTTTCTCCTAATTTTTGTTTTAAACTAAAATAAACACACAGTAAAATATTTCAAACCACACCAAAGGACATAAACTGATGTCTCCCTGCCATCTCCAACCCACTTTCCTTCTTCCCCCCATGGTAGCTGTTTGACTTTATGCATCCTTTTGAAAACATTTTAATGCATCATCTTCCTAAATATGCATTTGTTCCTTTTTGCATACAAATGCAATTATGGTAGTCTGACTTTTATGTCCTTACCTCTCTCATTTAACCCTAAAAATCATTAAGATCTTCTGCTACCAATTCCCCAGGTCTGCCTTACTTCTTAAAGTGACTGAACAATATCCAACAAGAGGCTAACACTGTTTTCACTTGTTGTGATTAAACAATGCTGTGACAATACTCTCCTGCTTGTATTTTAAATTATCTCTGCTATTATAGTTCTAGGGCAAATCCCTAACAATGGAACTGTTGGGTCAAAGGATATGTACATTTCATAGATATTGCCAAATGGCTTTTCAGAGTTTATACTGATTGTTCATTAGATAGTATTTTCCCACATCCTCATTTGCACAGGATGTTATTAAGCTTGTAAATATCTAATAATTCGACTGTGAAAACAGATACTTTGTTTTTGTTCCAATGCACTACCATCACTCTAGTCCCAATACATTCTGATCTCCGACCTCCTTGAATCCCTTTAGATCTTTGAATTAAATGTCAGAACTAAAACTTTCTGGGAACGACGACAGCTCACTGCTCAAACTCCTTCCTTTCTTTAAAATCAAAAGGCTCCAACAAGCTCATAAAAAACCCCCACAGCTTGTTCATGAACTTCTTTTCAAACAGTATTGCAATGAGTTCTCTCCAAGTGTGTGGATTAAATTTCTAGCGATTAACAGATGGATTTATAAATTAAATGGCACAAGCATGTGATATTTCCAAACAAAATCATTTGAAATGTAAGCTCAGAATGTTCCACAAAACTCCAAAATCTAGTCATGGTAAATTCCTTGCCGCATGTCATTAGAAGATTTATTTCAATAACAATTACTCTGAATACAAACATATAAAAATTCCATTTGTTAAAAATAACTCTGAAAATAAAACATTTTCCTCTTTAAACAGCAAAAAACAAAACCAAAAAACAATCCCTATATTCTAAAGAGGGAAGGGAACGACTTCAAGTGTGATTCAATCTACCCCTTCAAATGCAACAGCAATAACTAATGTTGGAAAAATGTACATTTCTCAGTCCTTCTCTCCTTCTTCACACTTCCCCAAACACACACACACACACACACACACACACACACAGAGTAAAATGTTATATGATTCACCAAAAGAAACCAAAATCACAACCTAAAATGAGCATTAAGTGTTTTTCCCGACATTTATCCCCACATGACAAAGATATGTCTCTAACTGGCATCTGGATTCCATCAATGCTCTTTCAAGAGAAGGGTCAGGGAGCCTGTGGGTGCTGTGTAGGATCAGCTATCCTCAAAAGGCATCCCTGCCTAGCATCACAGTGCCCTGCACAGGCCTCCTGTACGCTAACCCTTTACCATCTGAATACCTCTGTGCCTCCTTCCTCTCTCACGGCAGCCTTACTGATGCACTAGTCTAAACACATCTGTGTAGCTCCCTACATGCACACCTGAAATGGATGTATAAAACTACACAGTAGCTTCCTTTACTGAGCACAAACTAGATACCAGGTACATAGTGAGTGTTCTATGTGCACTGTTTAATCCTCACAGTAACCACAAGTGATAAGTACTATTATTATCCATTCCACAGATGAAAAACCTGAGACAGAGAGAGGTTCAGTAACTCACCCAAGGTCACACAACTAAAAAGTAGTACAGCTCAGTTTCAAACTGAGGCGAAGTGGATCCTCTTGCACATGCTCTGTGTGCAATCTAGTCTCCCACTGAGAAAACCCAAAACACACAGGAATTCAGAAGTCCAACATTTCAGGCTATGGAATATTCCACTAGATGAACTTGAAGAGTCTCAATGGACCACAAAAGATTTATGAACAAGCTTGAGTTCCCTAAGAGGTGATGTCAATATATCAAATGAAAAGAGATCTGTGTTTACTCTGATTTAACCACTTTGCATTTCTTGGCTGGAGAGAAAGAGGGAGATAGGGGATGGGATTTTGGCTTTCGTTTGTTTTGCAAAATACCACACTGCACATAAGCAATAACTCTTAAGGAGCACTAGAAAGCTCAAGCAAAAATCAGAAAGGAACCGAGGCAAGAACAAACACCAGAAGTCAGATTAAATTGAGGCAGTGGTGAGGGGTGGGAAAGGATGCAAAAAGCACATAAAGCAGGCAGGGCATGGCAGCTCACACCTGCAATCCCAGCGCTTTGGGAGGCTGAGGCTGGTGGATCGCCTCAGCTCAGGAATTCACGATCAGTCTGGGCAACATGGTGAAACCCCATCTTTACGAATACAAAAAATCAGCCGGGCATTTATGGTCCTAGCTACTCAGGAGGCCAACGTGGATGGATGGCTTGAGCCTGGGAGGCAGAGGTTGCAGTGAGCTAAGATTGTGCCACTGCACTCCAACCTGGGTGACAAAGTGAGACCCCCATCTCAAAAAAAAAAAAAAACAGCTAGATTTTTCTCTTAAAAGGTATCTCTATTCTAAGTTTGTTTGGCTCCTCTCCTAACACATTTTAAGTTAGAGTTATTTATCAAGGTGAACTAATATGACTTGGAATTTGTTTTGCTGGCTAAAGTAAGAGAGAAATGAAAGGGACTGTTTTCATAGCAGGGGTACCTAACAATAAAGCACACTTCCCAAAGGCTTAGGTGAAAGGTTTGATACCACAGACCAGCTGCTGTTTCTTTAGGGTTGAGGACTAACAAATGATATGATTTTGCTAAGAGCACTGCATACTGATCACGCAATGAAAAGCCTTACGTCAGAGATATGGCTGGGCTATTTCACAACCCAACCAAGCATCTAACACAGGAATTCCTTGGGAAACACAGACATCATTTGTACTGTATTCTTCTAGTAACTAATAACGTGTGTGCGTTGTTGCTCATCTTGGCTTTTTAACATGTACTCAATGACCTGCCAGATTTTCCAGGCAACAGTGCAGAATACATTCAGGTTTCATGATGCTATTTCTGCTAATCAGGACAAATTTTGAAAACCACTATGGCAAACACATGCAGGTGGAATTAAATTTTCCTCTGGGAGCCATGCAGGCAGTTCTTGCAAAAGGACCACATAAACTGAAAATAGCAATGCAAGCTACAAAATCAGGTCTGGCTTGTACTCAAATCACCTTTTGTAAAAAAGAAAAAGAAAATAACTGAAACATGCTCTTTGATAAGCACAAGGAAGAACTGTATTCCAGTGGGGCTGGAATGTCACTTTGCACCTGATGAGTGTGGAAACTGAACACCATCTTCACTGGCTTTAACACAGTAGGTTTCCCAACGATCACTTGGCCACAGGCCTCTCCATTTTCAGCAATTTCCAACATTAGGCTTTGGTGTGGTTTAGACCTGGGGCAGAGAATAGGTCTTCTTGGTTTGGGTTCTTTTGTTTGCTACAGCTTGTGAAACATCTAATTGTGAAGTGAATCTTAATTTATTGAAGTTGTTTCTCAAAACTGGTAACAAAGGGTGGAGGAATAATTATGAGTGTAAACAAGAACAGCCAACTCATTTGTGCTAAATGGCAAAACATGTTCTTGATGGTAAATTGTACAACACGGGCTCATGTTTTGACCCACTGGCTCAAGTCTGACCCTGCTGCTTCCTGGAGCCAAATGTCTAGATATTTGAGTGCAGCTTGCTCCCTCAGTCCCTCCTAAGACTGGAGAGTGCAGCAGACCCCTGGCAGCAGAGACCACATCAGAAAAGCACATGATGGCACACAGCCTGGGATCTTAGTCAACCGGTAGAAGGTAAAAATAAAAATATACCAACCTCACGCAGTTCTACAGTTTTTTAAGAATTCCACAGAGAGAATACAAGAAACACAACTATGTGATCACATCCCTGGGGCTCAATAAAGTGGGAATGATCCCTGTCCCCATCTACCTTCATATTTATAATTTAGTCTCATCATTTACAATGTTCTTTTTCATATGTATGTTGGATAAGACAGATAATGTTCATCATTTTAACAACTACAAATCACATAAAGTTGTCGTTTCTTATAATAAACCATTGTTTTGGTTTGTTTTTGAAACTGCGGAATGGGCTAAAAGCAAAGGGAATTTAATCATAAATCTCTTTGTGTCACTCCCTTCAACTGAAGCCATGTGTTGGCCACTCCCACCCTACGTAATTTAAATCCCAGACTCAAGACTTAGGCCCTTTGGGGTCAAGCCCTTGTTTTCTTCACCAGCCCTCTTTCTGACCACTTCCCTGCCCATCCCTCAACTCTTTCCATTTCCACACTCTGCTTACTTGCAGCTCCCCCAATTCCCAACTCTCTTCCTGCTCCAGGCCTTGTATGAGCGCCAATCCCCATCCCTGCAAAACCCTAGTGTCCAACCGCTTTATTTTAGCCCATGGGTCTTCACAGGTGGATGCATGTAACACAATGCATTGGAATGGCAGGAGAATATATTTGACATTTTATTCATAGTCATATTTTAATTTTATTATTTAAAATACTCCCTCTTGTATGTAACTTTTAATAAGGCACATAACGTACTAGTTTGGTAGTGTGTACACATTATATATACAAATAAAATTTGGTCATCTGATCTAGCAAACTCTTGTTCAACCTTCTGAACTCAGCTCCAATGGCCCCTCCCCAGGACACCTCCTCCCGCAGGGTTAACTCATTCCAAGGCATCATTAGCTGGTGGCAGGCACAGAGTACATCAATGAGAGCAGTGCTATGCTCTCCCAACTCATCAGTCTCCCCATCTGGAGGTGAGCTCCATGAGGGCAGGGCACACACTATTCCCATCTGGATGGCTAGCATCTTCTTGTCCTTCAGGTTTCTGCTTACTACTATCTCCTCTTGTCTTTCCTGATAACCCAAGCTAATGATACTCTTTGCTTCTTGGCTAGTATCTGCCATGTGCCATCCACCCAGTTTGTTCCTTCACTGTACTTCTTCCAATCCAATCTGTAATTATTGTATTCACTTGCTTCTTGTCTGACATCCCCACCAGGACTCAATGATCACAGGGCCTCAGTCTTTCTGGCCTCCATTGTACCTCCTGGCCCTTAGCAAACAGCCTATGTTCAATACTTATTTGTTGAATGAAAGATTTTTGTTTTCTTTTCCTTTCCTTTAACTATTTTCCTTTCAAGCTAATAAACGAGGAGATGGTCAGGAAAAGAAAAGGGTAAGGGATGGGACATATTCAGATAATCCCCCTTGAAATGTGAGATTCTGAAACACTGCTACTCTCCGGAGCCCATTCTTTGAACATTTTCCCCATAATTAAACTGGCAGATTTGAGTTCGGCCTCTTCTTTCTAGAGGAGTGTCTGCTGATCAATGTGGTGGTCAAAGAGCTGCAGTGGGAGGAGAAAACAAAGGGATGCAGTCACCCACAAATTAGGGAATTGTCTCTGACTAATGAACAGCTGACAGAGCAGAACTCAAGATCAGGCTTCCAGTCTGCAGCCCACACTCCAGCTCGGTCTAGGAGGGTGGCTGGTTATCCAGTTCCAACTGCACACATCTCATGCAACTTCATTCAGCCCAACTGCTGTACAATCAGAAATGTACCCCCTAATAAAAGAAAGAAATTCAAAAAAAGAAATGCACCCCCAGAACCAAACAGTTTAAATTAGCTGTTATATTACTAGGCCAATGCTGTTTTAGGAGACTACACAATAAAAATCCCTAAGTGTGAAGATGTTAGATAGCCAATGAACTCTAATGACAGAGAGCAGAATGAAGTCAGCAAGGTTTCCTGCTCCTCGCTGTCCCCTTCAAACCTTGACCTCTCTTTCCAGCTACACCAGGAAAAGGAAAAACACATTTTAGTAATTAACATACCACACTCGGCCGGCCACCAATAATATTGAATCCCAGGGAGCCAGAGTCCCGATGCAGGACAAGAGTCAGGCTTTTGGTTTCTTCGCCCTGCAGGTAACAAATAAGATCAAATTTTTATTTACCAACAGGGAATAGATGGTAGGAATTTTCCTTCTATCTAAGTGTACTCAAGGACTACTCAGCTAATCATTACAAATCCTGTTATCTCTTGGGAAGTTTAACCAAAGAAACTTCTGGAACCCAATCTGAAATTCTGTCTTGTGTTTAAGAACTTATAAACATTTCTAGATACCATCTAACCCTGGAATGACCACATAAGAATGTCTGGAGATGTACAGACATGCCCAATGAACATTTTCTATGAATGACACCTTGGTCTGCAAATGCATCTTTCTTTTGACCGGCCCATCGTACGCAGGCTGTCTAGACGGCTACTTTCTGTTTGTTTCTCAACCATTCTCAACAGCAGCATTCATGTCATGTCATGAAAGGTTCAAATAGCAATCCTTTCGGAAGTGTGAGTGCATGCATGGCCCATCAATAGCCATCTCTGTTTGGGAGACTTGGGGAAAAATAGTGCATGAAAAGTGAGATGCAAACACAGAAAACAAAAAATCCTGAATCTTACTGAAAAGGGGGAGGGGGGCATTTTCACAAAGTAATTACTGTCCAATCCACACGAGATGCAGAGCTGTTTAATAGAAAGCACTCTGTTTAAGGCTGGCCATTGTGAACCCCTTTAAATCAAACAAGTAGAAGTGACCCAGGCAGGTCACAGAGCGTGATGTTCGACAGTCAAAGGCAACAGAGATGCCAGGGAGAGTGTTCTCAACTAACACTCTCAAGTGACAGCAGACAGATAAAAATAGATTTAACCTTATGTGAAAACTGTCACGTAATATTCTTTGACATAAACATTCAACTCGCTGATACACCTTTGACATGTTTCCAATTATATGAATGATACGCAAAACATCGCAGCCTGTGGACTGCCTACAAATCGGCATTTGCTTCACTTAACGTTTTCTATTTAAATATGGTAGTATTCAAATGTGGTATTTCTTTTCCATATAAAATATTTAATAAGCTGTTTTAAAAATAACACCGACAGCTTATGACAAAAGAGATTTTACTCTGATATTTTTGCTTTCTGTTCAAACTTTTGTCTTCTATCTTTTCTGGGGAAATAAATGGCCATATTTGAAAGGCATGAATGCAACTCTCTGACTCAACCTCATTTGCAAAAGAAAGTATTGTTTCTACCTTTTCTGGGGAAATAAATGGCCATATTTGAAAGGCATGAATGCAACTCTCTGACTCAACCTCATTTGCAAAGGAAAGTACTGTTTCTACCTGCAGTGCCCTGTGAGTTTTCCGGAGCACTGCCTCATTTCTTGCTATGGCTGTCAATGTGCAACTCTGGTGTCACATTTTGCCAGGAGAACTGTGCCCAGTAGAGCTAAAAAAATATTATTAAAGATCAACGGGCTTCACCATGTAGAATTATCTCCACGCTTAAAGTCTTAGTAACCACAACCTCTTTCTCATGACTATTACTATACAACAAAATTAAAAATATTTTCAAAACTTTCTTGTGAGCCTAAACATCAATTAGAAATACACTGTGAAAACAAAAAGGACAATTTATTGTGAGAAAAAGATACTCTGTTTCTGATGAAACAACTAGGTATCCTACAAGGACAACACAACATTCATTTCTTAAGAGTCACTTACTCAATATATAAAATACAGAATTATATATTAAAAAGAAGCTAGTCTCTATCAAGTTACTGTACCCAATGAAAAACAGCAGAGCCTCTTTAATGACAGCCTATTGGTTTTTAAAAAATGTTCTGATAGCAGCACCATCCAAAGCATCTATCAACGCTGTCCCTCTTTAACCAATTTGAACTGTAGCAAGTTAAAAGGCGACTTTCACTGCTTTAAAAGAAAATCCAGAATCAACCTAACAGTTTTGAGATATAAACATGATTTTCAAATTAAAACAGTTTATCTCTCTCTACTTAGGACACTGAAAATCTCACTAAGTCCATTTCTGACTTTGCTATCTTAAAGGGGTGAAAAGTTAGAAATACATGGGAATTTGGCAAGTTATCTTACATATCTTACATGTCTGGCTTTCATAATTAATCAATGATAGAAACTGCACAGTTACACAGTAATCCAAGGCAGATGGCTTCAATTTGACAATCTCAAGTGATGCACGAAGAAGAATGCACAATCACATGATTTAAAAGATTGGTTTTCAATCTACTGTATGATAACCACTTATTCAAAAAAAAAAAAAAAAAGAAAATAATCTTATCACATTGCGTTGACAATGATAACAGCTAACATTTACTGGCTGCAAACTATGTGCCAGAAACTATAATGAGGATTTAAGTGCTTTATTTCATTTTTTTAATCCAACCAATCTTAAAAATTGCACTATTACCATCCTCATGACATAGGTGGGAAGACTGAGGGACGGTGATTAAGAAAGCTGTCCCACGCTAAGGAGCTAGTAAAACGTTGAGCTGGGATTCAGACCCATACTTCCCAATCCTACACCTTAATTACACTTCTATACTATCTCTTTCTGTGTGGAATATAGAAAATAATTCCACAAAGGTTAGCAACATCTTAGGTCCTGCTCAAGATGGTTTTATTGTTGAAATTCCAAAAAGGAACTTACCCAGGAGGCCAGTATCAGAACAAAATTCCAAACTGTTTACTGAATTATTTATCTCCAAAGGAACCAATCTGAGATGTGTGAAGACATCTAAGTCCAGCCCTGTCCTCAGAGATTTCTCCCAAGGGATAATTAAGACAATGTCGGAAACACAACATTCCTCGACCAAACAGCATCTTGCAAAGAATGTTTCTGAACAACTAAGTTGACCTTCTGTGCTTCCTTGCCAGATGCAATTCCAGGGAGAAACAGCGGTGTTCTTATTTTCTATAAGCATCTTGATCTAGTCTACTGTCCATAAGGGTCAGACATTGGCTTTAGGTTGCATTGCCAATTTTAGGGCAACATGTAGAAGATTCAACACAGGATGCAGGGAGGGATAAAAGAAAAGTTCAGACTGGGCTGAATTCCTTTTATTTCTCCAACTAATTACCAAAGGTTATTTGCTATTCTTTGACAACTTGATTCTGGTTTTTCCTTTTCATTCCTTTCCCCACAAACAGCCTTAACTACTTTAGTTTAACTTCTAATTTTTCAGAAGTATTAATTGAGATTGTAAACAGATATTCTTCATATAAAACATTTAACACGTTAACATTAATCTGTTCCTAGGGTCAGAAAGGTTCAGGATAGAGGGTACTTAAATAATTCTCATTCAATTACATCCCACCACTTGAAAAGAGGTGTAAATGGGATAAGGGCAAAGGCTCTTATCGAAGCTGCTTTCCCGACTGTTCACAGACATGGTAACTGTGACAGGCAGCAGCATCTTTCATTTACAGGAAAATTTAACCAATATTGGTCTGTTTAGGTAGTTTATCATAACCCATGATTTGCAATGGTCTCAAAACACAGTAAAACAAAGAGGGAAATGAGCCCAACTTCACATAAACTGATAAACCAACAAACACTATCAATGCTCTAAACCTGGAAAAACTGAGGCTCAGAGAAAATCACACACTTGCTCAAGATCACAAGACGGCAAAGTGGGAAGGTCATGACTGGAACCCAGGTCCACATGTGACTCTGGTGCCTATGATCTTTGTACTGTGCTGGTAAATGTTTGCACCCTATTCTAAATCCTTCTGCCTCCAAAGACTGAGCCTGGCATGACAGATCAGACAATTAATTCATCTGGCAATTAGAGTTTTAAGTCAGGCTTCTTTGGACTATGCAATAATAATTGCAAAGATTAAGAATGTCTATTATACCCTGAAAAGTATAAGAAGACTATGCCATGACAGGAGCAGCATAATGGTGAAGTTCTCAGACCATTATGTCCATTGCATCTGGCAAGGAAGCACAGAGGTGAACCTGGTTGTTTAAAAACATTCTTTGCAAGATGCTGTCTGGCTGAGGAATGTTGTGTTTTGGACATTGTCTTAATTGTCCCTTAAGAGAGATTCTCTGAGTTCAGGGCTGGACTTAAGACGTCTTCAGGCATCTCAGATTGATGCAACATCAGAGTCAGAACCTGCGATGTTTCTCCTCATCCACAGAAAGGGAATGATAATGGTTTCTTCTCATGTCACCAGTTCTCATGTCACCAGGTTACTAGGAGGCATGACTGAGATAGACAGATACCAAAAGATTGTCTCAGTACGGCACCTGGCCAATAATTGGCACCCAAAACACAAGGTACAGTGCTAAGCTGGACATACACACAGCTCAACAGTGAAGCCACGATGCTCTTTTCCCACATACGTTACTCTTCCACAAAATCTAGGCAATGGAGAATGCCTAATCTTGCTTTAACTTAGTCTAAAGCAAGTTTGGAAGAGCTGGGGCCTGAGAGTTAAGTAAATCAATATCATTATATATTCCTAACTGTGTCTATCTTTTTCCATGACTGGAAGAAGAGTGGCACATTTTAGACCAGTGGAGAGACCACCAGGTAGACAATTTTTATTCTGAAGGTGGTAGGAGGAGACATGGGAAAGAAGACGAGGGGCGCAGCTCAGCTTGGACTTTCAGTGGAACACAGGTAAGACAGGAAGATGATACCGACCAAGTGGGCTGTGGGCCAGGAAAAGGGGAAATCACATACATAACATGGCCATACCTGGAAGGGAATGGCCACAGAAGCAAAGGGGATGGGAAACAGATTTTGACTCACAACAGGATAGGAGAAACATCAAGGCTAAGAAACAGTGAACTGAGGAACAGTAGAGGCAGAAACGAGCTGGGGACTCTAGGAGCACAGGGAACTTGGGGATTGCTACACACTACAGACTGCTTCACGGTCTAGCATATTAGTGGGTCTCAATGGGTTGGTACGAAAAGAAGGTGAAGAACAGAGGAAAAACAACAAATGCAAATGGAATGGCACTTCCTTGGCAGCTTTCACAGAGTTGCCTTCTATTCAATAACTCTTCCCAGAGGTCAAGTGTCTCCT